TTTCGACTTCACCAGGTACCAGCTCCACACTCCCAAGCGTGTCTTCCAACTCAACAGACAGACCCAGGTCCAACTCAAAAACCGTCGTGTATATTATTTGTTTTTATTCTGCTATTTCCTAGGCTACCAGAGTGGCCCGGGTCCATTTGCCCGGCCGGGCCAAAAAGAAAAAAAAAATATATATACATATATATATTTTTTTTAATTAAAATTTTTATATTAAATTTGGTAAAGAATTTTGATTTGACCCTAAGGCAAAAGTTGTTCAGTTTTTTTTTCTGTGTTTTTCAGATTTTTTTGATTTTTTTTGTTCCTTCTTCTTGGCTGGGACCTTCCCTGGTGCTTGCACGGCCGGGCGGGTCGCCCGGGAAAATAGGCTGACCCGGGCGACCCGGCTGGTAGCCTAGGCTATTTCACTATTTTCTAGATTCATTGTCGAATCTGCAATCATTCTGTTTTTCAGTATATGTTTTCAATATAGTTTTTCAACCATAGTTCGAGTAGAATAAATCATTTTGGCCAAACTTTCAATATATTTTTTCAACAATAGTTTTGAGTAGAACAAGTCATTTTGGCCAAACTTGCGATATAGCCCCCAAAGATAAGACATGTGCCACAATGTCCCCAAAAGATTGTGGTGGAGTGGGATGCCCGTTCGCACAAAAAACCTTTGGGTTATACCTCTTTTATGTGGGCGGGAAATTTTGTTCTCTACTCCTTCCCCAAGTCGGACTGCCCGTCTTCAATTTTGACCCAGTTTGCCCCCTTCCGGCTTCGCCAACTTTGCAGAATGCCCCTGGCCCATTCGTGTGCCAACCTGGCTCAATGGGACAACCCAATTGGAGATGTGCACAGAGGATGAACACAGGAGATAGTACATGTGAGAGAGAGAGAGAGAGAGAGAGGCTGATTCTACTGGGCGCTCCGACGGCTAGGGGGTGATTACCGAAAAGATGATGTAGGCCAGTCGGGGTGGAGTAAATTGACAGTGGATAGGACCCTTGGAAAGTTGGTATGTACAAGGGTATTTTGAAAAGTTGGACGGGAACCTAGTAGAGGTATATTGTAAAGATGACCAGTCGAACCGAGAGGAAGCCTATTTCAATTTTTTTTTTTTTTTTTTGTCAGGACTCAGAAGAGCATTCCTGTCCTCCACTATCTTTTGGGGGCAATTAATTCGGAAAACTACCTTTAAAAAAATAAAATTAAAAATTAAAAAAAAATGGAAATCGACCTTCATATGATCTCACCTTTTAGGAGCCCATCCAGCATTTTGGCATATATCTCACCCTTGGGGGCT